GCCCGAAATAACAACACACAAACTGTATTCATTTAAAGAACTGCTTGGCCCATGAACTCTAGCCCTTACAGGCTAATTCTCGCACCTGGACTAGCCCATTCCTAATAATGCGTGTAAGCACCCCAAGGTGCGCTTACCGGGAAGATTCTAGCCTTCGTCCATCCTGGGAGAGTGTAGCATGGCAAGCATGGTGTCTCTGCTCCAGAGCAGAGCTGTCGAGTCTCTCCGGGAGCAGAGCAGAGTCTGACCTCACTTCCTCTTCCGCCCAGAATTCTATTCTGTTTCCTCCTCCCATCTATGCTCTAAGCTAAGCCAAGCAGTTTCTTTATTGCTCAGCCAATGAAATCAACAGATTGATATATGACACTCCCACATCAGCTCATCCCCCTGTGTCCTTGTGAATAATCTTCAAACATAACTTTGTTTGGGAATTGAGGCAAAGACAACCCACAGATGTTGATTCAGTTCCTGATGTATTGATTTAGGCACTGGACCAAGGTCAGGAAAGCCAGAGATGCTCCTCTTATCTCATCCGATCACCCAGCTATTCTCCTGCCCTGGAATAGACCAATCACTGCTAGTAACCCTTTGAATAAGCCAATCTAATAAATTGGAAAACAACCTACAGATTCCCCCCTTGTGTCTGTGGCTTTTTGCTTTAAAAGATGGGCTGTAACAGCTATTGGATGTCCTTCATCTCCCGAACCTGAAGGGCCCTGTCCTGACAGAGTAAAAATCCTCTTGCTTTTGCATCAATTGCAGCTGTGTGAGTGGTGTCTGGAGCAACTCCTCCCTGACGTTTGGACTTCTAGTCCAACAAACCCTGTTTATACAGGGCCATGGTGGCACATGCCTTTAATCCCAGCATTAGGGAGGCAGAGGCAGGTGGATCTCTGTGAGTTTGAGGCCAGCCTTGTCTACAGCGTGAGTTCCAGGTCGTCCAGAGATACTTAGAGGAAACTGTGTCTCTAAAAAACAAGAAAAACAAAACAAAAAACCATACTTTACTTTGGAAGTGAGGTTTAACAGAAGGATATTAGTGTTGGCTTTTCATGCCAACTCAAGCGGTAGGGAAACGGGCCATGGGCAGATATTCCCTTCGTACATTTTGTAAACTCTCAAGGCATACAAGTGGCCAGGCCCCCTCCCCACCCACTTCCCTAAGGTTCCAAAGGATTGTAACTGCCTTCCTAGTCCCAAGATAGCAGAGTGGCCAGGCACCACCCTACAAGAAAAAAATCTCACCAATCCTTGAGCTTGCCCCCAAATCAGGCCATCCTGGAAAGCCCCATCCTACAGCAAAGAAGCCCCGTGTATACTGCCCAGTTCTCTGTTGCTTCTCACCGCAGCAGAGACTGCCACCGTCCTGGGTTTCCCCCTCCCAATCTCTGTGTGAGGCTTGCTGTGCTGAGTGACTTTGTGGTATTTCTTGGCTCCAGACTGCCAGGATACCTCTCCAGCTGAGCTGTACCGCTTGCTGTTCAGCCATTGGGAGTGTACCCTTTAAGGGGATAGTGAGACCCCAGTCCATTCTGTCTCTTTCCATCTGTGGTAGTTTAAATGTAATTGGCCCCCACAATCTCGTAGGGAGTGGCACTGGTGAGCTTTGAGGTGTCCTGTGCTCAGGATATCACCCAGAGCGTCAGTCAGTCCACTTCCTGTTGCCTCCAACACCACACCTGCCTGTCTGCCTGCCTGCCACCTTACTCCCTGCTGTGATGATAATGGACTGAACCTCTGAAACTGTAAGGGAGTCGCCCCAATTCAATGTTTCCTTTATAAGAGTTGCCATGGTCATGGTGTCTCCTCACAGCAATAGAAACCTGAACGAAGACACCTTCCCAGCCGTGAAGTGAACAGTCCTTCCCCACATGCTCCCTCCCATCATGGCACACTGTGGCACCATAGGCCCAAAGCATCGGGGCCCACTGATGCACACGGAAAGGAAAGAATAGTAATAGAAAAGTTACACATACAAAAATCCTAATGTGGTTTGATGGACCAAGAGCCCCTGAAAGTTCTGTGTAAAGCCCCCAAATTACTTTGCCCAACAAAAATCAGGAAGTAGTTTGGAGAGAACTACACCCAAATTCCCAAATATGGTTTATAAATGTTTGCTTTCATTTAAAAGGGGTTATGCTATACAGATAAATACTTTACATTGGTATGGATCTTGGTTTATTGATACAAATTTAAGGTCAATTTTATTATAAATATTTATGCTATTGATTAAGGTATTGTGTTTGTGCAGCTCATTTAAAAATGTAATATATAATTAAGAAATATAGGTTAATAGATAATCAACTATAATAATCAAACTTGCAGTCATGCTAGTTAGGTTTTCTAGATATATAGAGATATATTTCAGTTAGATAGGTATTCTTCAAATCTTTCTAAGACTAAACAGAATATAGCATTTAAAATGTTTTAAAAACTTAGGACTTTTCATGACAATGAGACTCATCTGCTCCTGGCAGCACCAATCTACTTCAAGAGGATGGGCATCAAAGAAGCTCCTTATGGAGTTTTTTAGACATTTTGGCAAGAAACTGTTCTTGCCTAGACTGCTTAATGCCTGAAGAAGGTGAATCAATCCTTTAGGGTTCCTGCTTCATGAAAGAAACAGCCAGACATTTTTACAGGACACAGAAAAACACAACTGATGAGCTTTTCTAGTACAAGGCAGAGCAGATCTTCAAATTTCCCGCTTCACTGAAAAGTCTGACTGATACTACAGGCCTGTAGGCTGAAGATGGATGCCTGCAATGTTACAGAAGAACTTCGGGTGGCTGTCCACACAGCAAGATGTCTCTGTCAATTCTAGAGTTGTGGAAGTTTCTTACAATGCACTTCCTGTTTACTTAGTTAATATTATATCCTTCTGGAGTTTTCGATGGAGTTGAATAAAAGGTAGTTATAATTATAGTTTTCCTTAATTATAACAAAAGATAAAGTAGATATAAATATTAGAACTGTAATCCTTGCTTGATACCTGTTTTGTTATACGTAATTTTAGTATGTTAAAGTTAAAACCTTCCTTTTTATTTGAACAGAAAAAGAAGTGGTGTGGGAAGTCCTATATATGTGTTGCTTTTATTGGTTAATGAATAAAGCTGTTTTGTCCAGTGGCTTAGCAGAATAGAGCAAGGCAGGAATTCCAAGCAGATAGAGGAGGAAAGAAGGCAGAATCAGGGAGATGCCATGTAGCTGCTGAAGGAGAAAGATACCCATGCACCGGCACTGGTAAACCATGAACTTCATGGTAAAATACAGAATAATAGAAATAGGATAATTTAAGATGTAAGAATTAGTTAGAAATACGCTTAAGCTATTGGCCAAACAGTATTGCATTAATATAGTTTCAGTGTGATTATTTCAGGTCTGCGCAGCCAGAAAACACACAGGCTCCCCCTACACAACTATAATCATTATTTCCAGATTATTTTTATCATTGTAAAGAGTGTACCTATTAAACAATAATTTCCCATTCTCTCTCCTGCATACCCTCTGGAAACATTGAGTTTAATTTTTTGTCTTTTAAAAAGATTTATTCTTATTTTATTTTTAATTGTGTGTGTGCGTGTGTGTGTGGGTGCGTGTGTGTGTGTGTGTGCGTGTATTTGGTTCCAAGTACCAACATGGCAGTTCATAATTATCCATAATTCCAGTTCCAGGGGATCCAACTCGCTCTTCTGACCTCTGCAAGCACCAGGCATGCACACGGTTCACATACACAGATGCAGGCAGACACCCAGATATATAACACTGTGGGAGTTTGACTGTAATTTACCCACAGAACTGCCAAGACCACACTCGAGAGGTAAATAAATGTGATGCTAAGGTAAGTATTTGAAAACTTAATAGGCATAAGTACGCTGTGGAGAAGCCCTATAAATTCCGAGTGTGGCAGAGCCTTCCCTGGGAGCTCCCATCTCAAATCCTTCTGAGAGTTCACATTGGTGAGAAGCCCTGTGTCTGTGGTAAAAGTTTCCAGGGCGTTAGCTCTTGGAGTGTTGCAAGAGAGAGGAAGAGCTTCAGTGATAGCTCCAGAGAAACCATACCCAGGAGACTCTTACGTGAAGGGTATGAGGAAGCCTTCAGGCACACCCCCAGTCAGAGAAGCCCCGTAGGTGCCCGTAGGCGAGGAAGCCTTCAGTTGGAGCTCCAGTCTTTGCCTCCTCCAGAAAGCACACAAAATACTTATATCTCAAAATATCAGCTCTAGAAGCTGTTTTGCTAAGAGTTAAAAAATCTTTCTTTCTTCCTTTTTTCTTTGAGACAGGATTTCTCTGTGTAGCCTTGGCAGTCCTGGAACTCACTTTGTAGAACAGGCTGGCCTCAAACTTTCAGAGATCTCTGCCTCTGGCTCCGGAGTGCTGGGATTAAAGGCGTGTGAAAGAGTTAAAAATCTTAAACCATTCATTAGTGCCGTCAGGAAGGAAATCCTTTATCCACCTCCACTGACCTCAGGCACCTTCGAGCAGCAGTCTCCAGCAGAACCTTCCTTCTACAGAGACTTAGGTGAGGCAGTGTGTCCACGCATCAGCTCAGGTCATGTGCCCCAAAGCTTGATTCTGAGTATGGAATCTCCCAGGGTACATGCCCGAAGTGGGGCATCACGTCCCTGATGCATGCGTCCCTGACGCATGCACGGTATTTCCTGGAATTCTAACACCAGAACTCAGTAGTTCACATACCACTCCAAACCTAATGTGGAAGTCCCCTTTGTATGCTGTGAATATGTTTTATCATCATTGGTTAATTAAAAAAAAAAGCTGCTTTAGCCAGTGATAGGGCAGAATAGAGCTAGGTGGGAAATAAAACTGAACATTGGGAGAAAGAAGGCAGAGTCAGAGAGACGCCATGTAGGCACCGAAAGAAACAGATGCCAGATGGAACCTTACCAGTAGGCCACAGTCATGTGGCAATACACAGATTAATAGAAATGGATTAATTTAAAATATAAGAGTTTCTTAATAAGAAGCCAAAGCTATTGGCCGAGCAGTGTTGTAATTAATACAGTTTCTTTGTAATTATTTCGGGTCTAGAGGGCTGGGAAATGAACGAGCGGTCTCCACCTACACAAACCCATAAACAGTGCTCAGTCTTTGAATTACCCTCTGTGTTATAAACCAAGCAGGAGATGGCCACTTTCCAAGGAAGCAAGCTCAGACTTCAATTGCTTCTTCTTCCCTACCACTCACATCCAGCTGTTTCCCCAGCCCCAGGTTTGGTTTGGTTTGGTTCTGGTTGAGAGATGTCTCAACTGTTAAGAGCACTGGATGCTCTTCCAGAGGTCCTGAGTTCAATTCCCAGCAACCACATGGTGGCTCACAACCATCTGTAGTGAGATCTGGTGCCCTCTTCTGTGCATGCAGATAGATAACAAATGAATAAATCTTTAAAAAAAAATCACATGATGCAGTCACTAGAAAATGAACCCAACTTAGAGATGCAATGATTAGTTAAAGCCTACAAACTAAACAAAATTTCCAGGGCACTTATGACTGCCAGAGATTTCCTGACTCGGGTGAGCAAGTAGATAACTATGATTCCCCTAAAATCAAAAATGAGATCTGCCTTCCTCTACCTCCCAAGTGCTGGGATTAAAGGAGTGTGCCACCAGCACCCAGTGACAGTCTTTTTAAACTTATTTTACATGTAGGAGTGTTTTGCCTACATCTGTGTATATGCATTGTGTGTGTACATAAGACAGTCAGAAAATGGCATCGGATGCCCTGGAATGGTAGGTACAGAGCCACTGCATGGGGGCTGGGAACTGAACCCAGTCTCCTCACTCCTGAGCCACCCCTGAAACCCCAATGAGAAGGACAGTCTTTGTGAGTCTGTTGTCTGCACACTTACACAGACCCTAAAGCCAATCAGGAGCATCCAGAATAGAGAGGAAGAACGCCCAAGTTTTAGAACGGGTTAATGAAAGAGCCAGGATCATCTGCCTGTTGACACAGGGACTCTAGAGGCGGAGGCTGGAGGACGGTTTGAGCTCTGAGGTTAGAGAGCAGCCTGGACTACAGAGTGAGCAAGGTCTGAAAAACAGCGTGAGTACGGAAGCTAGTCCTGACGCAGGATGCCCAGGAGGTGTGCTGGGGAGGGTGTCCCCAAGACATAAGAACAGAATGGCCACCACGAACTGGGTTCTGGAGCCCTGAAGTGGAAGGCTGGGAGGCCATTCATGTAAGAGAGGTGATTGGCAGTTTTTTTAGCTTTAGGAGTGGATCTGGTCAGTGCCCTGGCTAGACCTGATGATGAAGGATTGCTGAAACTTTGTCAGTGGGGCTAAAAAATGGGGAGCCTGAAACTGGAGAACCAGACGGAGGCTGCTTTCTCCTCTGGACAGCTTGCTCCAATCATCAGCAAGAAACGAGACTTTTGTGAAAACAACCAAACACACTGCTCTTCTGCTTATCTCTGACTACACACGTTACACGTGAAAGTGTGTAAACATGGACGACTCAGAGAGCTGGAAATAAATACGGTCACAGTGTACCTAAATGAGGCAATTCCACTTACGGGTTTGGTTTTTTGTTTTTGTTTGTTTGTTTGTTTTTGGTGTTGATTTTGGTTTGGTTTTGGTCTTTTTGAGACAGAGTTTCTCCACGTAACAGTCCTAGCTGTCCTGGAACTAGCTCTCGTAGATCAGGCTGGCCTCAAACTCACAGAGATCCACCTGCCTCTGCCTCTGCCTCTGCCTCTGCCTCTGCCTCTGCCTCTGCCTCTGCCTCTGCCTCTGCCTCTGCCTCTGCCTCTGCCTCTGCCTCTGCCTCTGCCTCTGCCTCTGCCTCTGCCTCTGCCTCTGCCTCTGCCTCCCAAGTGCTGGGATTTAAGGTGCATGTTACTACTCCCAGCTTATTATTATTTTGGGGTGTTGAGGACTGGAGCCCCTGAATGCTATGTTAGTGACTGACCCTGAGTTATATTCTACCCAATGGGCTCCTTGGGTTTTATTGGTAGAGCTCCCTTAAAACTCAATCCTCGGCTTCTGCTGGAAATCCTCAGTTCAACCTGTATAACACTGATTCAATATTACCAGAGAATTCACAGCCCCAAGGGAATGGGCATCTCTGGTGTTAGTCATCACAGAAGAAAGCAGGTTCTGTTGACAAAGGTTTCTGTCACACCAGGTCCCACAGCTATTCAGTCCCAAAGAAACACACAGAGGTCTATATTAATTATAAACTGGTTGGCCTATTAGCTCAGGCTTCTTATTAACTCTTATAACTTACATGAGCCCATAATTCTTGTCTGTGTTAGCCATGTGGCTAGGTACCTTTTATCAGTGAGGCATTCTCATCTTGCTTCCTCCATATCTGGGTGACAACTGCAGACTGAGACTTTCCTCTTCCCAGAATTCTCCTGTTCTCATTGCTCTGCCTCTACTTCCTGCCTGGCTACTGGCCAATCAGCATTTTATTAGACCAATACAAATGACAAATCTTTACAGGGCACAAGACCATTGTTCCACAACACCAGCCTAACTTGGTTATGTGTAAAAGTCACCAGGTGGTACTGGTTTTGAAGTCATGAAGGAGTCATAGAGAACAGCTGAGGTTTGGGCACTATGTGGCAGGGCTGGAGTCCCTAAAGGAAGGCTAGAAGAGGCCATCGGTGACGGTGTTGCCTCAGTAACAGTGGAGACCCCAGCATATTGAAGATACCATGCGTGGCATGACCACCAGTAACAGCAGCAGCTGAGGGGTAGCGCCTTCCAGAGTGTAAGACACAAGCAATGTCTACTGGAAAAACTGAGCCCTTTGGTGCTCAAAAGATGGTGAGTGCCATATGTCAGGCATAGTTGCGCTCTGAAATTGAGTTTTGCTTTGATTTGATTATGGTTGCCCTGTTTCTTCTCTCTTGGAGTAAGAAAGTATGTAACATTTTCGATCTTACACAAGACAATTTGGACTTCTTTTTTTTTTTTTCACTGTGTAGCCTTGGCTGGCCTGGAGCTCACTGTGTGGGCCAAGTTGACTTCAAACTCATAGAGATCCACTCTCTGCCTTCTGAGTGCTGACATTAAAGTCTGGGTCGAGACTATGAACTTTTTAATGTCATTTTTTTTAAGGACTGTAGGACTTTTAAAGTTATATCAGTTTTATAGTGTTTGTTACATTGATATTAATAGGAGATCTTAGGGATCAGAAAAGGAGAGGTTATGTTTTAATAGTGATGTGTTTGTGTGTCAAGTTGTCAAGGGGTCAACTGAGTTGGGTGGTTTTGCAAACTTGACACAAACCTAGACATAACCTGGAAAAAGAAGAACCTCAGATAAGTTATGCCTTATCAGGTTGGCCTATAAGTAAGTCTGTAGGATCATTGTTTTGATTAATTATTAATGTGGGAGGGCCCAGCTCACTCCGTGTGCCACCCATGGACAAGTGATTCTGGGTTGAATAAGAATGCAGGCTGAGCAAGCCATGGGGAGCAAGCCAGTAAGCATCACTACCCCAGGGCCTCGGCTTCAGTTCCTGCTCCAGCTTCCTGCCTTAGCTTCTCTCAACAGACTGTGTCCTGGGATGTGTAAGTCAAATAAACCCTTTCCTCTCTAAGTTGCTTTGGGTCATGGACTTTATCACAGCGAAAGAAACCAATCTAGAACAAGGAATAGGCATGTTAGTAGACAGAAAGTAGATTAGAGGTGTCCGGGTCTGGAGCAGAGAATTGAGAGTTTGGTTATGGGCTCCAGAGCTGCCATGGAGTGATGTAAGTCTTAGATAGTTGTGTAGCAATGAGCACAAGCTTTATACTCCTAAAATGTAAAGTTTTTTGCTGTTGATTTTGAGTGAGACATAGTCTTACATAGCCCAGGATAGCTTCAAACTCCCTGTGAAACTGAGGCTGGCCTGACTCTCTGGCATCGGCCTTCTGAATGCTGGGGTTACAGGTGTATAACGCCATGCCCTAGCCAAAACGTACATTTAAAAATGATGAACGAATGCTGGGCGACGGTGGCGCACGCCTTTAATCCCAGCACTCGGGAGGCAGAGGCAGGCGGATCTCTGTGAGTTCGAGACCAGCCTGGTCTACAGAGCTAGTGCCAGGACAGGCTCCAAAGCCACAAAGAAACCCTGTCTCGAAAATCAAAAAAAAAAAAAAAAAATGATGAACGAGCCAGAGGGTTGGCTCAGTGAGTAGGGGACTTGTCACCCAAGTCTGAGGATCTGATAAACAAATCAAACGCCATGCTTGTCAATTGATAAATGATTAAAATGCCACTCTGAAATGTGGTTTTATGCTTTATCTACTAGCTAAGGTATGCATGTCATATGTGTCTGGTGCCTGCAGAGGCCAGAAAAGAGCATTAGATCCTGGACCCAGAATTACAGAAAGTTGTGAGCTGCCATGTGGGTGCTGGAAATCAAACCGGGGTCTTCTAGAGGAGCAGCCAGTGAGTGCACTTAACCGCTGAGCCAGCCCTCAGTTAAAGTATTTTAAATGATACGCTTTATGTTTTATATATGGTAACATAATAAAATGATTTTTTTCCCAGAAAAGGTTAAGTAGCTCACTCAAGACAATGCATCTAGAAAGTGACCAAGCTAGATTTGAACAAAAACTTGAAATGGCGCCTGAGCTGACGCTCTGAATACTTAAGCAGCCACCAAAACTGAGGCCATCTGGGCCCTTGTCACCACTGTCTTATGTGGCCTTTGGAAGCTCATTCTTGTCAGCTATTAAATAATAAGATTTAAGTGCCTTGGACGGGTTTGACTTGCTGCAACCTGATGATATTACTGTCTATGCAGCACTTTTGACATAAGAACATGCAGGCTCTAAAACCTTGATCTCACTGTGATACTGTTTGCCTCTGGGATGTTCCGTCACGCAGGAGCCCCAGGGGGATGATCTGCTTCTTAACCTGCTCCTCCTCCGGGGGTTCATCCTGAAGTTGGGCCAGCCCTTGAGGAGGCCGCATTCCCTCTCTCTCCCTTTTCTGGGTGAGGACTCAGGCTTGAATTCATTCCAGGATAAACTTTCACCAGCCAAGAGATAACACAACTTCAAGGTGACAACCAGGGACGTCTTTAAAAGTCCTCCTTCCTCGCCGAAGCCGCTGCAGCTTCTCCACTCCAGGCTGGCCATCAGCCGATATCCGGCTACCATGTGGGAACTTGTGGCTCTCTTGTTGCTCATCCTAGCCTATTTCTTTTGGCACGAGTCAAAGACACTTTGTACCAATTACCCCAAGAGCCTCCCATTCCTGCCCATTGTGGGCAGCCTGCCATTTCTCCCCAGACGTGGGCATATGCATGTCAATTTCTTCAAGCTGCAGGAAAAATATGGTCCCATCTATTCTCTTTATCTGGGTACCACACCTACAGTGATCATCGGCCAGTATCAGCTGGCCAAGGAAGTGCTCGTTAAGAAAGGAAAAGAATTCTCCGGTCGGCCACAAATGGTAAGCAGGGCCTGCCCTTCCCTCTCAGCCCCTGGGATTGTACAGTTCTTCATTTTTCCAAAACCGGACTAGTGGGACCACTCCCGCAGACATTCTCCAATCTCTAAACTGGGAAGGAGGGAGACCTCTTGAGTGGCTTGTCCAGGAAGGTGGTGCAGGGACCTGCAGAGTTAGGGAGCCCTAACTCTTCCCTCTAGTATGAGATAGTCATTCTAGATCGCACTGACAAAGCCCATCGCCCAGACCTAAAGCTAAAGTTCTCCATAGGTGTGACTGTTACATTTGTTGGAAAATAGGGGCAGTGGTTGCATCGTCCACAGGAAGACGCTGGGAGAAGCAGCTGACTCCAGTAGCTGGGGGGGGGGGGGGGGGGCTAAGATTGTCGTTTCCCTGAGCATGTGGCTTTGGCTCACAGATAGCGGGAGGGGGGGCAGGGAGCAGGGACATACAGTAGTATCTCAAGGCCTCTGACTTCATTGTGCTGACTGTTGAGTAGCCATCCTACAAACAACACCCCTGCTCCCGTGACCCTGCTGCAAGGGTTCCCTTGAGCACCCCAATAAGGCACAGCTGGCCTCAGCTTTGAGCAGGCCAAAATAAAATCATTCACCCTGGGCCAGTCAGCCAGAGCGGCCTGCCCCGCTACAGGGCTTTCCCAGATTTGGGGTTCCTCTCAGAAGCAAAAGAATAAAAGAGGCTGGGCCAGGTGGGGCTGTAAGAGGGAGACTTTGGGCCTTTGTGCTTTTGGAGGTACCTTTCAGAGGAGACAGCTCAAGCATGTGCTGTTGTCAAAAGCGGGTTTGAAGCTGGGTTCACAGTCCAGCAGTGAGAAGAGAAAGAAACGGCATGAATTCTGTGACCTTTGGCAGTCTGACGGTGGTGGGAAAGGTAGCGAAATCTCCCAATCTCCCTGTGCCTAGCTTTCCCCGCCCATAGCTGCCTGCTCCTGGTCAGAAACCAAAGCAGAGAGGCCCAGAGGGCACCCTACTGATAAACTGAACCCCAGAACTCTTGCATTCAAATTCAGGGCTCCTTCCATCTCCTCCCTACCGCCTTTCATGGAACTGTTAGGGCCGTCCTATTAAGAGGGGAGCAGCCCTCAAGTCAGCCCTGCAGGTCCAGGGAGAGGACAGAGAGTTCCAGGGGGTGCCTAATAATTTCTACAGTCTTGCCTGCTCTCCAAAGGTGACTCTAAGCCTCTTGTCGGACCAAGGAAAAGGCATCGCCTTTGCCGACTCCAGTGGCACCTGGCAGCTGCACCGAAAGTTGGCGCTCAGCTCCTTTGCCCTGTTCAGGGATGGTGACCAGAAACTGGAGAAGATCAGTGAGTGAGAAGCTTGCCCTGGGGCTGGGGAGCTGGGTCCAGTCATTCCTTAGCGGCTGCTGCCACCCAGTGGCCATCCCAGAGAAGTGGGCCCTGGTGGAGAGGTGACGTATTTAGCATTCCCTCTCTCCCCAGTCTGCCAGGAAGCCAGCTCACTGTGTGACTTGCTGCTCACCCACAACCAGAAGTCCATCGATCTGTCCCAGCCATTGTTCATGGCAGTAACCAACATAATCTGCGCCATCTGCTTCAGCATCTCCTACGAGAACAACGACCCGATCCTGACCACCATTAAGACCTTTACAGAAGGCATCCTGGATGGCCTGGGCCACGATAACCTGGTGGACATATTTCCCTGGTTGGCGGTGAGAACACCTCTCCACTCCGGATCCCACCGGGACAGTGTCCCCAGTGCTTCCGGTTCCCACGACCATCTTTCTCATCACACTCAGCCAACAGCCACTGTCTGCTGTGCCTCTTGCAGCCGCAGACAGTTCACTAACCTAGGATTGCTCTTGTAACTGAGAATGACCTTGAGATTCTGCTCCTCCTGCCTCCAAGTCTCAAGTACTAGGACTATAACATGTCCTGTGATGCTCTCCTTTTTAAATCCTGTATCTTTTTTGTTGGTTTGTTTTGTTTTTTTGAGACAGGGTTTCTCTGTAGCTTTGGAGCCTGTCCTGGAACTAGCTCTTATAGATTAGGCTGGCCTCGAACTCACAAAGATCTGCCTGCCTCTGCCTCCCAAGTGCTGGGATTAAAGGCGTGCGCCACCACCGCCTGGCTAAATCCTGTATCTTAATATGTATACTCTTATTATTTTCCAATTGCCATGTGCCTACAGCAAGCATGCTGTTGATCATTAGGCTCCCCCTGGAGGTATGTCAAATTATCCTCTTGTCTAGATGAGAAAAACAGGCTGAACCTAGTTGAGGAACTTGCCTTAGTCTCTGTTCTATGGGAAAGAGAGGGCACACAGCTGTCGGGGCTTGGTGAATTGAATGTGGAGGGGATGAGGAGTCCCCCCTGCCCTTCAATGTTTTAAGTTGTCCTTCTTGGCCATGTAATCTCATCCTCTCATTATCTTGCCTTCCCAGATGAAGCTCCAGGCTGTGGGGGGGGGGGGAGTATTTTCTTAAAGAGAAAACTAAGGTCTACTTCCAGGAAGAATTCTCCTAGCTGGATAGATGGATTTGACATTTTCTTCTGTTTCCAGATTTTTCCCAATAAAACCTTGGACACAATAAAGAGCTATGTTAAAGTTCGAGATGAAGTACTGTCTAAAATATTGGAAAATTGCAAGGTAAGAGCTAGGGCAGAGGCAAATAAGAGGTTAGGGTGTGGTGAGAGCAGGCCCGGGCACACTGTAGACACTGTAAGAGCTCCAGGGCCTGGCAGGGGCCTGGCAGGGGCCTGGCACATACGCTACCGCTAGGAACCGACTTCTTCATGGGAGTGGAAAAGTGAGAAGTCGAGAAAGGTCTTAGAAGGGACCCAGGGCTCCCGCTGCCTCTGCAAACTCACAGGTCCACTCTCAAGTTCAGGGAACCTTGCTGTCTCTAGTCTAAGACAGAGCGTGGCAGGGTTATGGAGGTGGGTATCCCTCCTCATCCTCACCTCCCGCTCCAGGAGAAATTCAGCAGTGACGCCATCTCCAGCTTGACGGACATTCTGATCCAAGCCAAGATGAACGCAGACAACAACAACAGCAGCGAAGCCCAGGCTTCGACTGCGTTTTCAGACCGGCACATCCTCTCTACGGTGGCAGACATCTTCGGGGCCGGGATAGAGACCACCGTCTCGGTGTTGCGCTGGATTGTGGCTTTCCTGCTCCACAATCCCAAGGTGAGTGAGCGTCTCCTCACTTTTGTCTTCCGTGGAATCCAACCAGCCCCATTTGGGGGGGGGGAGGGGGGCGGGCTGGGGCGCAACACCTGGAGCCCTCTGTGCAGATAACCCTGTTCCGCCTCTCATACAAGCAGTGGCTGACTCTGACCCTGGGTTAATGTTGCCCCGTCTTCTAGAAACAAGGCCTAGGCTGCAGAGCCATCACTGGATAGAATCTTGTCGGGATTGTGACCGCTGGGTTCTGCTAAGCCCGCCTCCCTCTTAGACGAGAACAACCTGGTCACGTGACCTTGTTCTGGTCCTCAGGTGATGAAGAAGATCCAAAAAGAGATTGACCAGAATATCGGTTTCAACTGCACACCAACTTTCAATGACCGAAATCGCCTCCTCATGCTTGAGGCCACTATCCGAGAAGTGCTTCGCATCAGACCTGTGGCCCCCATACTCATCCCCCACAAGGCTAACATTGACTCAAGGTACGTCTTTCTCACCGAGACACTCAGCCTAGGATGCAGCCTTTAGCTAGCCCATTTTGTCCCCGATCCTTGTCCCTCCTGCCCTGAGCTGCTCCTCAACCTGTTGTCAAATGGTGATGGCTGTCGATCATCCCACCCTAGCCATCCTAACGGCTGCATCTGCCGCCACCCTGATCTCCACTGACTAAGCTACAGCTCCATCTTGCTTTCCCTCCAAACTTACTGGTGCCCTGGAGACACGGGTCTGGACTGAAGGGGAAGATACTATTCTTTTCTTTCTCCTTGTCTGGGTCAGCATTGGCGAGTTTACCATCCCCAAGGACACACACGTGATCATCAATCTGTGGGCGCTGCACCACAGTGAGGAGGAGTGGGAGCGGCCAGATGAGTTCCTGCCCGGTGAGTGTCTGTCTGCCCCAGCCTGGCCCCTGGGCCACACAGCTAGCCTGGATTCTGCTCCACTGGGCCAACCCTCCTTCCTGCCCACTAGGCTTGCTACTAGAAAATTCTTGGCTGCATCCCACAGGCCTGTTGCCATTCCCATTATCCTGGAGATTGCCCCAACTCTTCATAACTGGACTTTCCAACTCCTCAAATCAGTTCTGTGGGAAGTCTGCAGGCATCTGTCTCCCAGTAGCCCTGTACCTCTTCTCTTGGATGGTGGCATTTTCTCCTGGTGCGACCTCTTCCTCTCTCTTCATCTTTCCTGAATACTTAATTTCCTCATGGTCTAAAAGTGGGTTGAGGTTCTCTGGGCAAAAGCTTGGCCTCTGGCTGACGCTTCCCTCTGTTGTCTCCAGAACGCTTCTTAGACCCGACTGGAAGCCATCTCGTCACACCCTCATTAAGTTACCTGCCCTTCGGAGCTGGGCCCCGCTCCTGTGTTGGAGAGGTTCTGGCCCGCCAAGAGCTCTTCCTCTTCATGGCCTGCCTGCTGCAGAGGTTTGATCTGGATGTGCCCGACGATGGGCAGTTGCCCAGCCTGGAGGGTGACCCCAAGGTGGTCTTTCTGATCGACCCCTTCAGAGTGAAGCTCACCGTCCGCCAAGCATGGAAGGATGCCCAGGCAGAGGTTAGCACCTGGAGGTCGTAACTAAAGTCTCCTGGTCCCATGCTGTGCAGCCCAAAGCACAGAATTAGAGGTGCCGCTCCCACCATCCCCTACATCCTTCCTGACTCCTGTCCCATTACCTGGCTTGCAGCAGTGGAGGATGGCGTGCCTAAATTAAAGATTTTCCAATGAAAGTCTCTGGGTTGCCTATTTATTTACTCATTTGCTTACTCATTCAGACAACAAACATGGACTTATTTATTTTGTGTGGCAGAGGGGTGTGCGCGCGCGTGTGTGTGCGTGTGCGTGTGCGTGTGCGTGTGTGTGTGTGTGTGTGTGTGTAAATGAAAGAGCAACTCAGAGGAGTTGATCTTTTCCCTACCGTGTCGATTTCAGGGACGGAAACCAGGACGTCAAGTTTGGCAGCCTTGACCCGATGAGCCATCTTGCACACCTCTCCAAACATTTTACTGAGTACACACTATACACCATTCCCTGACTCAGACACTCAGCCTGTGTGTGTGGGGGGGGGGACAACCAGGAATGTTAAACACATAGGGTTGTCCCTTCAAAGGGAGATGCGTATAATCTGTTATCTGCCCAGAAGGCTGGGAGCAGACACAGTTAATAGCCTGGTGACCTTTATAATATCTGTATGGCCGAGACCACACCTGATCCTCTCCTAGACCCTCACTGTGAGTTCGTCAATCTACGGAACCTATCTTTATGAAAGGTGTCCCATGTGGTCAGTGATCTTTATGGGAGGCGTCACGTGTACTTTACAAAGAGTTTCAATGCATCAAGTATGAGCCTTATTGTGCACATAGGATCTAGTTAATCATTGCCAGAAAAGTTTTCACCAAACTGTGCTGTGCTTAAATACGCCTAAAATAAACTACTTGGAGCTGGGTGGTGGTGGCACACACTTTTAATCCCAGAGACAGGAGAATCTCTGGGTTTGAAGCCAGATTGGTCAACAGAGCAAGTTCTAGGACAGCCAGGGTACACAGAAAAACCTGTCTTGAAAAACCAAACAACAACAAACAAGCAAACAAAAAAATCTACTTGGGGTCAGTAGATTTTTTTGACCAAGTTTGATCCAACACCAGTTACTTATTGTGTTGAACCAAACTATCTCCTCATCTTGTGGGGATCATCACTCTGCAGGTCTTGGTGGTCCCAGAGACACCACACACACACACACACACACACACACACAGGTTTGGTGAAGACTGACAGGTAAGTGAGAGCTTCAGACTCACAAATGCTTTGGCATCAATGACACTGGACATGATACAGTGGAGTCCTGGGGATGCGGGGGAGGATGCGGGGAAAAGTGACAGCTCTGAAGGAGAAGCAGAGGACACGGTCTCAAGGACACCATGACCAGAGCACAGTAGATGGGGTGGGGGTGGGGCAGTCTCTGGTGGGCTAGCGTAGGAGGCAGGCCAGCTCCTCTGGGACCATTGTAAGGAGCAGGGAGTTTAGTTTCTATCCCAAACACACAAAAAGTCACTAGCAGATTAGAAATGCATGAGTAAAGCAATGAGAAAGGGTCTCATGTAGCTCAGGCTAGCCTCCACCTTGCTATGTGGCGGAGGCTGGCCTTGATTTACCTCCATTCACCTCAGAAGTACTGAGAGTCCAGGCTTGCCCACATCATCACTCCCAGCTCTACTGTCATTCTGGGGGCTCCCCCTGGTGGCTTCAGGGACGTTTAGGAAGGAGGCTGCTGTGCCAGCATGGGAGGAATGGGATGTATGGAGAGGGTCTGGGGCACGGCTACAGCCAGGAGGGTGGTGAGGGCAAGCAGAACTGAGTCTTCGTCTGAAAGCAGACTTGCTTATCTTGTTTACTCTGACCTATACTTTTTACTGCATGGGCCTCATAAATTTGGCTTTGTGACCACGTATAACCCAGACTGGGTCCGTTAGAAGAATGCCATCTTGGTCCACAAGGATGGGTCCTTTTTCCTCTTCCTCTCAGGTAAACACCACCATGAGAAAGATTTCCAAATAGCACACCTAGATTCCTCTCCCCTCCCCACTCAGAATGCCCCAGGAGCTGGAGATGCCTCCTTACTGGAAGATGGAGTTAGTCCTTGAAACTGGCATCGTGTGTACGTGCATGTGTGTACGTGCATGTATGTGTTGTGTGATATTTTCGTTATGTTCTGACCAGTAAAGCTTGCTTGGAGTCAAAGGGCAGAGGCAGCAACTAGCTGACCATAGAGGTTTGGATGACTGGAAGGAGGACAGGAAGTGATAAGGCAGAGCTGAGACAGGGGCTTGACACTTTTGGATGGAGGAAGGGAAAAGGTAGGAAATAACTGTGGCTGCTCTTCTGCTTCTCTGACTCAAAGTAAGCTTTGTCAGAACACAATAAAAAAAATCATAACACGTATATGTGTGCGTACATGTATGTGTGTGGGCGTGCATATGGCAGTCATCTTGTTTGTGACTGGGTATCCTCTGCGCTCACTACTTTATGAGTTACTTGACCTGCGTCGGGTGAGCCTCCTGTCTCTACCACCTGTCTCTTGGTTTGGGTACGTTATGATTTTGGGATACGCTGTGCTATTGTGCGTAGTACAGACACAACAGACAACAGACACTTGTGCTACTGTCTCGGCTTTTATGCAGGTCCTAGAGATTCCAACTCGGGTCATCAAGTCTTGTTCGGTAACAGTAATCCATCTCCCCAGCTGGAATCCAGCATCTTCAGACCCTGGCCAGTGGCCAGCCAACACGTGACGACCCAGCCATTGTGGAAGACAGTAACCTTTGACTTTTAGCCTAGAAGGTGGCCCCATTCCCAGATCCCTGACGCCAGCCAGACCAGCGTCAAATCATCAGCAGTCGGGTCCTTCACCTCTGGAAAAGTCAGGGACATGCCTACGATCCTGCCTGGCTAAGCTGCCAACGGGAAGTTGAAGGAACTTCAAGGAGCTAGGTCACAGAGTGTTCTTTCTTTCTTTCATTCTTTCTTTCTTTCTTTTTTTTTGTTTTTTTTTTTTTTTTTTTTTTTTTTTGAGACAAGGTTTCTCTGTAGCTTTGGAGCCTGTCCTGGAACTAGCTCTTGTAGACCAGGCTGGCCTCGAACTCCCAGAGATCCACCTGCCTCTGCCTCCCGAGTGCTGGGATTAAAGGCGTGCGCCACCACCGCCCGGCTTCAGAGTGTTCTTTCTTGAGAGAGATTTTAGCGCAGCTGTAGCTGACTCTACCCTAACTCTCCCACATCAGTCTTGCTCGTCAAGACCCCAGACCCTGCTCAACAACCTGGGGGAGAGCTTGTGGGATCTGCAGCTGACCCTCACAAGCAGCTTGTAGGGAGAGGCGGTGATGACACCACGTCAAGCTGAAGAGAATTTAAACTGGAGGTCACCCCTTCCCTCTGCAGGTTCTCTCCCAGCTGGCTGCAGAGAGGGCCCGACTTCCTAGGGATGGAAGGAGGAGAGGCTAAGTGTTTCACATCTGCTCAGATCCAAAAGACACTTCACGAGCTAGCGATGAACAGACGGGCAAATGAGCAGGAAGCCTGTGTTCTCCACAGCAGTGGAGGATGAGCCTGACTCAACAAGAGGAAACTGTGTCCTTTGGGAGAATAATGGCACGAGTCCTGACTGGAGCCTGGAATGGGAGACTTTAACCCGCTGATCCGAATCGCCAAATCCCTGACTTCTCTGTGTGTCTCAGAGTAAATGCCTTCTTCCCAGACTTAAACTCCGGTAATCGAATTAGCCTTGGCTTTCAAACTGTTGAAACAACGGTTCCCAAGAAATTTCAATTTCCCCAGGAATTTTAGGCTGGGAAAAGGAAGAAGGAGGCTGGAGCCTGATGCTAGCCAGAGGAGGAACTTGTCTCCTAGAAAGAGTTCTCATGGACTGAAACCAAGACAACGAAGGTGGGTAGGACCACACCTCAGCCAGGACTATCTAGTTACGTGCATCCTAGACCTCAGGACCCCAAAGATAGACTTGGGGTATCACGGGCTCCCTTTGTTCCTCTTCCTAAGGTGACACATGGTGCCGTCTCTTGTCAGCTTTGCACTGTTTCTGACTGTTTAGGTGGCCGGTTGGAGACAGGTGGCCAGCAAGCTGGTTTCTTACTGTTCCAGGACCCAGGATTTGGTCCTAACTGCTAATATGATCTTCCTCCCAGAGTTCAAGGCTGAGCCCTCTCATTTTCTTGCATATTAGTACATAACAAACCAGTTACATGCACCAGAGGACCCTATCCAATGCCCAGAATCTGAACCAGGAGTCTTAGCCCTGAATCCAGTGTTGATCAACAGGAAATATTCAGAAGGAAGCCCATTTACAGTTTTTTGTTTGTTTACTTCGTTGTTTTTGTTTTTCTTTTTTTTTAATATTTATTTATTATTTATTATGTATACAACAGTCTATCTGTGTGTATGCCGAAGGCCAGAAGAGGGCACCAGACCTTATTACAGATGGTTGTGAGCCACCATGTGGTTGCTGGGAATTGAACTCAAGACCTTTGGAAGAGCAGGCAATGCTCTTAACCACTGAGCCATCTCTCCAGCCCTGTTTTGGGTTTTCAAGACAGGATTTCTCTGTGTAACAGCTCTGGCTGTCCTGGAATCCGCTCTGCAGGATTCCAGAGCTGGCCTTGAGCTCACAGAGATCTATCTGCCTGCCTCTGCCTCCTGAGTGCTGGGATTAAAACTCGGCTCCACTTTTAGTTTTTCATTTGTTTGTTTCGAGAGTCTCCTAAAAATCAGGCTGGCCTCAAATCCACTACATATCTGGGGATGTTGGAATCACAGGCATGTGCCACCGTGTTCATCTTTCTTTTTTCCCTTCAGTGCTGAGTGTCAGAGCCAGGGTTTCATGCATGCTAGGTGTGTGTGCTCTACCACTGTGCCACGCCCCCAGCCCCCCCATCGTTACCTCAGTCCTCAGACTGCTTAGTCAGCAAAGTGATGGGAAATCGATGTTTAACCCCAGTTTGGGAGGGACACCCGATTTTTAGTGCTTGCCAACTAATAGGTTTTCTGTGCCCCTCTCTACAATAAGTTTCTCCACTGATGCAGTAAGCCAGATCAAGTCAAACTGAAAAGGTTTAACGATAGGTATATTGAGCAAAGCAACTCCCAGGCCCAACTCACTGATCCCAGAGATCAAGGCCAGAGAGTCACAAACCCCAGCCAGGACAACAAAGTTTTATAAATT